CGGAAAATGCTTCAGACTCTAATTTCCCACGCACATCCTATTGGCCTGGATAACTTGACCGCCTAACTATGCTTACCTTGGTAGCCAGCTATTTCACAAATAAAGATTTTTATTATAGTTCTGTACACTATCATAGCGAGTTCAAGAAGAAATGTATGGGGAGATTCAAAAGACAGGATTAATACCCTGCACTCAATAAATATATGCTTTATTTCTTCTATTTTTTCTACATATGAATTGTATCAGCATAACCAGTAATCATAGAATTAACAACAAAATATGTATTGTACAACTTTCTCGAAGCAATATAGATTCTGTTGACTTATGTCTTCTGTACACCATCAATTGCCCTGTGTGTGACATGTCTGGTTTGAGGTAATTTAGACCTCGGTTCTCTCCGTGTATCATATGGGCAACCATCCGGAGCTTACCCACCCCCAAGAGTACACATTCGGGCGCTGCCGACCTTTTATCCTGGCCGGCCGGTATCAGATCTCTGGACATACAGACCATCTCTCTCCCAATTCTATACTTCAGCCCATGGTGTTTTGACTGTTTTCTTTACCACCCAATGAATTGTTGAATCACTCACCCGGTCTGCTCCCCGAGACAGAGAGGTTCCTCCCTCTTTCTAGTTCTCGGCCAGGGGCGTACCATGTGGGAGGAGTATGGGAGGAGCATGCCCAGACGGCGCAACGACATAACTGACGTCATCGCGCCAGATACTGTTATAGCGCCCGCGTGACCCACCGACATCAGTCTGCGGCAGTTAGACAGCGGTAGTAGATGTGGGTGGCGTGGGGGTAATCGGAGAACCTAATCTTGGAAGACAAACAGACAGAAACTTCTGCCTGGTCCATGCCTTTTCCGTTTTTTTCGTCTCCTAAAACTGTGTGGCCATCAGCCTGAGCGACCCAAACATCTCGTTGTTGTAAGTACACGTTGGCCGCCGTGCCTTATATATATACACCCCTCTATGACTGAAAGGAGTATTTCTCCACTTATGAGTGATGCTTTCTCAATTTAACTAGACTGTGGCCTATTATCATCATACCCCTCTTCTCTCTTTTTCTTTTTCTAGGTTGTCTCTTCCTCCCCCTTTTTCTTACCCCTTAAACTCAATTGACCAACATAGTACCCCTCCTATTTTTAGGGGGGACTACGCAGGGGCGTAGCTCGACCAGACCCGCCCAGACACATATACACACCAGAGCACTTGAATTGGTAGGCATAAGTTAATCTGATTATGTACTATATTTTCACTCTAAGGAGAATTAAGAACGTTCATCATGACTTTCATGTTTTACAAATCATATAGATATCTCCTGTACCTGAAGAAGCGCCTGGGTGCGCGAAACGTCGTACCAGCTCCTCCATTTATGAACCTCTACCAACTCCATACAGCATTTAAGTTTCTTAGGAATCATTATCCCTTATCTTTGATTGTCTGTATTATCAGATTGTTTCCTAAACTATGTACCTATTTTGCTATGAATTAACCATGCTGTAGGAAGGGTACATATGGAGAGAGCGCACAGGGAGCTATCTAATCAACTGTTTTTAATTGGATTGTTTTCTAGCCCTTGTTTTTAATGAATGCAATTAAAATTAACTCTTTTATATGAATCTCTTAGTGGAGTAAGTTCCTTTGGTGCTCTCAAAACCCCACTTTCTGTCCTTGTCTAGCTTACAAAGGGTGGATGACTCTCTCCCCACCCTTATATGACAGCTCTGGGCCAATCACCGAGCAATAGTATTGTAACACAGGAGGAAGGGAGTAGGTCATATTTTCCTGATACCCAGAAATATCAGGTGCACCTCTTTGTTCCATTTACACTATAGTAACACTTAATTTTAGAACCCCCAGCCCTCCCAGTTTTAGTTTCACCTGTCCCTGATCCACTGAAATTTCAGCTGCACAACCTCCTGTGAGATCCTTCTTCATAGGGACTGTGCATGTGTACTACAATCTCCATTCAGTCCCATACAGTATTCTTTTTCTAACAGTGCAGTGTACAAACTCTCCATAGGATTGAATAAAGATTGCAACATGCATGTACAGCCCCAATGACAGAGGTTTGTGTGGTGCTAAAAAAGCCACACGGCTTAGATCTCATGGATCAGCTAGAAGTGAGTCTAAGGCTGCCCTTGCGATCATCGGACAAAACTTTTCGTCCTATGATCAAACCGTCGTACGATTTTTGTACGGCGGCCCCATCCTGCCCCGATTATTGCAAGGTTGGATCAGCGGTAATGAAAAGAAAGCACCTGGATGAATTGCGGTAATCGACCACACGTATTTTCATCTGCGCATGAGCAGTGTAGATCGTACAAATACATTTTGACGTACAGAAATGCCACCAACCTTGCGCAAATCGTATGATCGGCCGAAGTTTTCCAAACTGCTGGTTATTTAAAAGTCAATCGATTGTACAGTTTGAATTGAAATATATGTATGTATACAGTAAACTCCCAGTTTCTGGTTGCTTGAGAGTCACTAATAACTCTGAAGCAACCCCCGAGCAGAGCAGAGGAATGGACCTGAGAGAGAACTTTCTCTCTCAGATCCGCTCCTCTGCTCATTGACAGCAGGCAGTGTGTGGGTGCAATAGCCAGCCTGCTATTGGCTTTTGCAATTTAAAATAACCAATAGCAGGCTGGCTACTGCTCCCGTCCACTGCCCATTGTTTACATTCAGCTGCCGTCTGCAGAATCTAACTGCCGGCCAGCAGCAAGATTTAAACATAAAATTTCAGAGAATGTAAACAGAGGATTTCGTTAGCAAATAAATACATTTAGTTGCTAACTAAATTTTTTAGTGTGCACATGTCCATCAAGTAGCCGGCAAAATAAATCAAGGACATATTATGTCCTCCATTTTTTTTGCTGGTTGCTTGAGAGTGCTGGTTGCTTGAATGCCGGATAATGGGCAGTTTACTGTATGTGTATAAACTGTAACAATAAGGTTTGGCAGATTTACCACTCACCATTAGATGGTGTACTTTGTAAGCCTCTTTTGGCAAAGTCAGCTGGAGCTCTGCCTTCATTCTGATCTGCACGGTTCACCATAGCAAGGACATCCACTACAGATCTAGGTGCCTAAGGGACATATACTAAGGAATTAGATCAAATGTCTCAATTTGTATCTACAATTAGCAATTTTGAAAATGATTTGCTGTAAAATCAGGGATGAGATAGTGCTCTCATTCACTATACCAAAACATAACACACTTTCTTAGATTTGAAACCACACTTCAACTGTGCGTCCAAAAAATAAAAGGTATACTGTATGTCCATAAATATATCTTATTTATTAATGTGTAAAAGATGTCTGTGATAGTCATGCTCTCATATTTGAACAGTATTTGTTATGTAAGATATCTGACTGAACAGTGTTGTTGATTAAGGAATTATTGATAGGCAGAATGGCCTGCATTTTGTGTTTATACAAAAGTACTAGTTTATACAATTTCATAAACCTAATATATGTATTTGTACATTTTAACAATATTTAGAGGAGTTGACTGCTTGTAAAGAGATCCCAGCATATAAATTGGTTGCTTCCTATGCTTAGCATGTCAGCTGACAATATGGCTGTACACACAGGATATATAGAAATTAAGTTTCTCAGTTCCCTGACAGATGTAGTACTTTTTAAAATGTTATTAGCATCTCCTTAAAAATAGTAAAGCATGTGGTGTTTTCATTCCCATGCACTATTAGTAATAGAAGACTAAGTTGAATAATACCCTTTTTGAGTAGATTCACCATAGACTATACTCTGTTACACCTCACTATATCACAGCATGCTTTCAAACAAAACAGTGATTATATGTTATTTATTTACTAATAAAACCTAATAAAATCATACCCACTTTTTCACAAAGCCATACAGACCTTTCCCCTTTCCTTTATATCTGTAAATGTCCTATTTCAATTATATTGGACCCTTCATATAGTATAAACATATAGTTACCTTAGTAATATTGATTTTAAGTCCAGGAATGCCAATACACTATTCCAAATCTCTAAATATATTATTGGACCGCCATACATTTTTAGTGTAAAGTGGCGCTTCACACGGCATGCAAACAGATTTGGCAACAGCCATTCTGTGTCCCTCTACAGCTCTCTGCAACCTCACCTTTAGACGCCCTAAGTTTGATGGGAAGATGATCACATTATTTATGACAGCAATTCTCAGGTTGTGGGGGGGGATTCCTAAATCTGATGAGGTAGAATCCTTCCTTGGTAAAGAATCAATGATCGATCACCTTCATTTGTAAATGTTTGCTACCCATGACTCCTCCAGTGTAGCCTCCAGCAATGACAGACTAATACACCAGAGCTTAGAGAGAAGGCATGGCAAGAAAACTTAAAGGAGTTCAGTTTATTTCTAATTTTGTCTGGGAGTTCCTGAGCAGAACATACTGTATTTAACATCTGCCAGACTGCAAAAATTAATTCCACTAACTGTCCTAAATGAAATGCAGAGAGGGGTGCCTTTCTTCATATATTTTGGATATGCCCACTGATTCCTGAATTCTGGGGAGATATAGTCACCATTGGCAGTGATGAAACTGGATACCCGCTTGTAATACACCCTTAGATCTTGTTACTGGGTTTGAATGAAGAATTATCCATGAGAGATTACAAGAAGCACTTCTTAATAAACTGTTATTATCCGTTTTATGTGTTCTGTTTAGATGGAGCTATACAGCTCTTCCTGCAAAAAAGGTCATATTGAACTCATCTGTTTTACCCATGTTTAAACTGGAACCTCAAAGATGGAACTGTCCTACAAATTTCATAAAATCTGATTACAATTAACTGACAGCATCATCACTAATTCTTCCACTATTGTGTAAAAAAAAAAAGAAACAATTATGAATTCATGTATAATAACTCTTTGTGAACTTATGTGATTACCCTTTAATGCTGGGTTCACACATGGGCGTTTTTCAGCGCTGATCGAAGCGCTGAAAAACGCTCAAGAAGTGAAATCCTATAAATCCCTATGGGAATGGTTCCCACCTGGGCGTATTTCAGCCAGTTTTGTCGAGCTGAAAAACGCCCTACACGCGCGTAGGTGCAGATTTCAGCACGTATCCATTGGTATTCCTGAGTGTGGCTCGGGGTTAACAGAGCGGTAACCCCGAGCCACACTAGGGAATACAGCGTAGGTCTTACCTTGTCCGCGATCCCCGCTGTGACCTCCGGCCGCTGCTGTCTTCCGTCCCTTGTAAGCGTCCGTGTCGCAGGGGGGCGGAAACGGCAGGAAGTTTAAAAGTTTTTTTTTTAAAACGAAAAACAGAAAAAAAGGGGGGAAAAATCATACCGCCAGGGAGGTTAAAAAACGAGCGTCGAACAAGCGTTTCATTGGAGAAAAAACTTGCTTTAAAAACGTGCTTAGAAACGCCCAGGTGTGAACCCAGCCTTAAAGTCTGGTTCTTAGCTTAGTACATATGCATGCACTTTACAAATATTGTAGAGGATGGTACCTCCAAGGGAGGGACTGGGAAGCATAAGCTTGGGGGCCAAACACAACCAACGCAAGTCCTTTGATGGTATGGACAGATTATTGTGGGCTAAAAAAAGTGCCCCACACAAAGTGTTGCTACATTGAATGTTGGGAAGGTAAAATATGGGTGTTCCTTATAGACATGGTTTATTGTGACATCTTATCACATCCTTCAGCACCAGCTTGCTCTGACCTCTGCATTTGGTCACAGGATACCATAGAGCCACAGAGGAAGTTGGCGCTGGGAGATTTCCTTAACGCATAACATATCCTATTAGTTCTGGCCAGGATGCAAATGCCCCTCAGACCTGTCCTTCCCTGATATCCCCAACTGCATACCATGACATTGTACAATAATTCCATTTTCTCACCATGTTCATAGAATCTCTTACATTTTGGGCTGGACGAGAAGATGCATAGTTCTGAGCCTGAGCCACTGGTCCTGTCTGTGCTCTGCTGACATCAATCTGCTCCTTCCATGTGGGTATTCGTACATTAAACAATCCATGTGCCTGTATGTGCAGAATAAAGTATGAACTAATGAAGAGTAAGGTATTAGCTGTTTCCTTATTTGTTGCATAGATGGTCAACACATTAGATTATTATAAATGTTATTTCTCGCAATGTATGTAAAGTTTGTGATGTGAAGTTAGGTGGTCTACTGCTGTGATAAAAATAAAATGAAATGGTATGTTGCTCTTCATACCTGGTTGGTTTATTACCTTTAATGTCAGAGGCCATAAGCTGACAGTTTCAGTACAACACCAGAGTGTAATGAAATGTGCTTACAAACAAAAACAGAGTTGACCAGCTGCAGACAGCAAGTATCCCCTATAACACCTCTGCTATTAACATCCTATGTGACCTCTGGCAGAAAGTTCTGTCCAAACTGTTAGGAAGAATCCACATGCAGAGAGATGCAAGCTGGTACTTGATGTATCTCCTCACACAGAGGCCAGAGAGCTCCTAGAATTGCTTGCAAATATAAAATGGAAACCTGAATTGTCTACGCAGTAAGGGATCCTGGCAGGGCAAAACAAAAGTTTTCCTGAACTGCTTACCTCCCCAGTTGCATATACTCAGCTTCCCTTCCCCACCACTCTGGGAGTAAAATGAGATGCTCAATACTTTTGGGTTTGCAGAACAGTTCCTTCATATGGGGCAGTAAGCAAGTCCTGCGGGGGCATTGGTGGCAAAGGTGTGTGGGAGGTACAGGGTTGTGCGAGGGGGTGCAATAGTGGTAGGGGTGTGTGGCAGGAGTGCAGTGGTTGCAGAGGTGTTCGGGAGGGGTTCAGAGGTGTGCGAGGGAGTACAGTGGTGGCAGAGGTATGCTTTGTGCAGTAGTGGAAATAGGGTGCAGAGGTGAGCAGTGGTAGAAGAAGGGGAGGTGAGTGCTGTGTGTTAACTTCTCCTAACCTCTGCCCTTTATATGCTGGGAGTACAGCAGTCAGGAGTGTGTAATGTGCAGCACAGCATGCAGAAAACAGCAGTCAGGGTTATGTAACATTACATCTTTATGACTGCCATACTTGGTACACTCTGCTATACGGTACGTACCACTTGCTGTTGTATGTTATATGTTGTACACAGTGGCGTAACAATCGCCATAGCGACCCAGGCGGCCACTATGGGGCCTGGGCACAGGGGGGCCCAGCCAGGGCATCCCTCTGATGCCGTGTGGCCGCCTGAATCGCTATGGCGTGTAAGGGTGCTGGCTGCCACTGACACAGCTCCGGCCACGGATGCAGCAGCCGCAGATTGATGTCAGCAGAGCACAGACAGGACCAGTGGCTCAGGTCCCCTCACAGCCGTTGCGAAGCTGTGTCAGTGACAGCCAGCAGCTGTGGCAGAAGAGGCCGGAATTCGCAGTGAAGGAGGAGGCGGGGCCCGCCTAAGAGCAACCCCGCCTACTCTTACATCACTGGCAAGCGACCTAAGAGCGGGCGGGGCCCATCGATAGAAGAGGAGGCGGGGCTCGGGACGGAAGAGGAGGCGGGGCCCGGGGACAGCAATGACAGATAAGAGGTGTGCAGCCCATCTGAGACCGTGCAGAGCCCACCATAGAGACTCTATGGTGGGCTCTGCAAGGTCACTCTCAGGTGGGCTGTTTGGTATATCAGATGGGCTCTGCAAGTGGCATAACTAGCAATCACGGGGCCCCATACAAAATTTTGCTATGGGGCCCTGTGATTTCTTATACATAACATTTCTGAGCACTGCACTCTGTACATGTTATACTCCAGTTTTCTGCAGTCTATATGCAATATTGTAATTACATACTTCTGACCAAAGTGTTCATTATCTCAAAAGTTGTTAGTTGCTACAGTAAGTAGTGCCTGACTATTTTATTGAAATTTTTCTAGGCTCAAAGTGTTTGGATAGAGTGAAAAAGGATTAGAACGTGTGTTGGGTTTTTACTGCTTTGTTAGGGAAATTTACCCCTCACCTCCACAATCTAAAAGAGGTACTGGTCTTCCTCACTCTACCAAAATAAAGCATTTCTATATCTATCTTTATTACTGTTGGAGAGTTCCCCTTACTTTCTGTCTGGTAAAATGTCAGAAGGACAGGGATGGGGAGAAATCTCCCCCAGATAGCACTAAAAACCTAACTAGGGTTCTAAACCTTACAATTTATGACAATTTAAATGATATTGCAGAGTTTTATATGTGTCTGTGAGACTCTGGTTTGTGGCACAGAATTAAAGCATGTTTTGTGGTTACAAGGATTGTGGCATATGTAAGGTTTGTATACAGCAAGTAGGCTTAGGTTCTATTTAACTATGTCCCTTGAAGCCCCAGTGAGCACAGTGTGGCCAAATCACCATTACCCTCGACATAATTTTTCCCCCCCATGCCCTGGGTCTTGCACCATCCTGGCAAATCCTTCGAGATATTCGTTCCAATTGGATCTCTGCTACATTGCATGCTTCCGTCCTCCCCCTTCTGCACAAACTCCTCACAGAAGAAGCAAAAGAGGAGTAAAGCTAGACTGGGGGTGACTACGGGCCTGGAAAAACAAACTGGGCAAATAGAATACTAACTATTTATATCACACAAGATTTCAACCAATCAGTAGCCACAACAGGGGTTGCAGTACTCAGCAGAACGGCCACATGTGTTTGCAGTGTAATTGGTGTTTATCACTGTATTCTCTGGATTGCCGCACTTTAAATGTACTGTACAGACTTAAAGTTGCAACAAGCTAAACAAATACAAACATTATTTTACTAATGAAGTATGGATGCACCGATACCATTTTTTCCAGACCGAGTACGAGTATCGATACTTTTCCTTAAGTACTCGCAGATACCAATTACCGATACCTTTTTTCATTGTCATGCGACAGTTTTTCTAAAACAATACAGACTAATGATTTTAGGACAGTGGTGGTAGAGCGCCAGGGCCAGGTCGCAGCAGCTAACACTGCTACAATAGTAGTTATAACACTGACTCCAAGCTGTAGAGGGCCTGCTAATCTCAGCAATACATTATACAGCAATGCAGAATACCACCAGATATAGAGGACTACAAATCCTAGTAATATATTATATGGCAGTGCAGAATAATATGAAGTTACATACAGGGGCCGTTCTGTGCTCTGGGTTGGCAGCCGGATGTCTCCAGGTTATGTCTATTTGGGGTATCAGGAGGTCTGTGCAAGATCTCAGGTGAGCTGTGTGGAGTTTCAGGAGGGCTGTGAAGAGTCTCAGGTGAACTGTGCAGAGGTCTCAGGAGGGCTGTGCGGGGTCTCAAGAGGGCTGTGCGGAGTCTCAAGAGGGCTGAGCGGGGTGTCACCAGGGGTCTGGAGGGTCTCACAAGCGGCGGGATTCCCCAGTAAGAAGGGGGAGATGTGCAACTGGCGCTGTAAACTGGCGCCACGCTTCATAGGAAGGCTGCTGAGGTTCCCAGCAAGCGCAAGACCTCAGGCAGCCGATTCCATTGAAAAATTTAATGCGCTGTATCTGTGTTTAGTATCGGGGCATTTTCACCAGTTTCAAATAAATGCCCCATCATTTTAAATAAATGCCCCACCCCTAATTAAATGACATACTCTGTCTACAATTGCTTGTTGAACACACAGCAAAAAGCTGTCCCTGGAAATGTTTTTAAAATGTTGGCAACTATGTCACATTGTGCATTAGAAACTCCAGCAAGTCACACTGAGCCTGCCTTATTTCCTTGCTGATGGACATCCACCATCATCTAGTTTTATCCTCCCCAGCCTTAGTGTCCCTGATTCATTGGATTGTGGGCGTTACCTAGGACAGTCTTCCTACAAATGTAGCCTGCATAGGAACGCCCACTCCTCCAGAATGACATTCACCCACCAAGATATTTTGATATTTGCATAACTCCTCCCAAGTGCCACTGCTTGCCTCCAGCTTGAAAGCTTTAGAGAGGGGTACTAAGGCAGGGTGCTGTGATGTTTTCAGGAAGCTATGTACATCACCTGCCAGCCCCTCCCATCAGCCATGATTTGCCTGCATTGCATAAAGAAGCACTGAGTGTAAAATAAGGCATGTAATGAACACATGAATGTTTAAAAATTTTAAAATATAATTAGCATGATGAGGAGGAGGAAAAGGAGAAAGCAAAATATTAGCAGATTCAATTTAACCTTTATATGAACCCATTGCTTTGTCCTGCACGAGCCAAGCATAGCTTCACTTCAAGTTTATGTTCATGAATGAAATGCTTAGCAATGAGGGTAGCTGCTTGTTATTTTAGAACAGCATGTCCCACTGGTACTCCAGTTCTATGTCACATGGAAGGTCTCATGACCTGCATCAGCTCTGCATTGTGGGTGCTAATGTCTTAATTCAGTTTCAATAAGGACTGTGCTGGCATGAGACTAATGAGACCTCAGGACACATGATGTGGAATTGGGGTGTAGGGAAAATTCTCCGTTCAAGAGAAAGGTACATTTTTAAACTTCGGAACCTCTTTTCCTGCCTTGGCTTCTTAATTGTTGAGCTTTTTTGATAAGTGGACCTAAACTTTCCAATGGAGGAGGCACTGTAATGGAGGAGGTTTTCTGACTGTGTTGCTTTATAAATAGCAGGAAGTACTAGGAAGTACTGCATATTTAACTCTATGTCCAAAGTTCATGTTACATATTTCATAGGCCCACTTTGCTTCACTGTATGCTTGAATTAGAATTTACTACCAACAATGCAATTTTCATAATGCACTTTGCATGTTTTTCTCAAAAGTACAAAGTCTTTATAGTATACAGGAAAGAACATTGAGACATCTCATGCAAATGTCAATGATCAGGTTGTAGAAATTAAAGGAGAACTATGGGGTTAAGGCTTTTCCCCATAGTTCTCCTCAGGGTAACGGGAGGACATAAACTAGCGTCCTCCCGTCACCCTAGGCTCAGTATACCGCGAGCTACAGCTCGCGGTATACTGAGACGCCGCAGTATACTGCGACCTGCTGCTCGCGGTATACTGAGACGCCGCAGCTGAAGCGGATCCCGACAATTGTGCCGGGATCCGTCCAGCTGCGTGACTGACAGCTGGCTCTGCCTATCTAGAGGCAGAGCCAGCTGTACCCGCCCCCTCCACCGTCCGTTCCGCCAGTCAGCGCTGGCGGGTCGGAGGTGGGAATCCAGCCCCTCCCCTGTCATGGCAGAGAGCCGTGACAGGATCGAGATGTGAGCGAACGCCGGTATGTGTTCGCTCACCTCCCGATCTACTGAGCCGACCTGTGACAGTCTCATTGTCACAGGTCGGCTAGAACTATGAGGTGAGTGAAAAGCACTCACCTCATAGTTGTCCTTTTAAGTTTGCTCTTATGAACCTTTATCTTATCTCACAAATTACCTTTCTTCAAGTGCAAATGAGGTCTATCGCTACAAACAATTCCAACCTATTCCAGCTACAGGAGGCATACAGGAAGCCTTGGTAGTTAAATCCATGAACAACAATATTGTGGCACCACAGCTGACAATTATCACCATCAGTGGCGGACCTAAGGAACAAAGGACCCTGGGGCAAGATTTTTTTGCTCCCCCCCTCCCCCCCCCAAGCCCCCCCAGGCTGAGGCCCCGGTGTCGGTGCACCGGCGGTAGTTCCGCCACTGATCACCATTATGTGTGATAATGGATTGAAAATTGCTTTCTGCACTAGCTCACTATTCTCTGGGGGATTTATTTCAATGAGATACAATCGGGGGAAGGGGGTCCCCTGACTTGCACTAAATAGTGAATGTTCATGTTATAGGAATAACACTTCTCTTTAGGGTATAACCATATAATGTGGGTTGCCCTGTGTGGGCAGTTTATTGCTACACTTCCCACTAATGTAATTTCTGGAAAGCCAGTCTAGACTCCTCAAAGTATTTTACAATTGTGGCAAAATATTATGCAGAGATTTACTATAATGCAGATACAGCTGTGCATTACTGTATGCACAGCCAACAATGGGAAGGCGACATAAGAACAGAGGAATACAAGACACATTTCAAGCATGAGATAAATATGGGATTCAATGTAGAGAAAGATTCAGCAGGAAATGTCAAATATGTTGTGTGATTGTTCTAACTTACTCGAGTGTGATACTGCAGGAAGGAGCTGCAGAGTTGCAAGTGCTTCTCTGCCAGAAATCGATACCTTCGCTTCTCTTCCAGCTCTGCTGCTCGTTGGCTCTCTTTGACAAAGGACAACATGTCTGAATGCAGCATGTTTACTTTCTCCTGGTAATCCATGGTTTAAATGACAGGGTGGGGAAACAGATAAAAGACACACGAATTGAAAAGTGACAATCTAGAGAGCAATATGATCTAAATCTAATTAAATGAATATGTTAACTGTCAATATATCCACAATGGAGGAATTCATTTTTTTTCAGATTTAGAAATATGGTTAAAAATTATATTTAATGGCCCTGGCAGGAACACATCATCTGCTCAGTTCCCTTCTGAATATTTTAAGCACCAGGCCTGAAGCACCCATAAATATGAGAATGAATACAAAAATACTTGTCTAGCAGCACTTTGGAGCTCGTTCACAATAGAACCTGATAGGATATGATACGAGTTGATATGAGTTGTGATGGGTTTTAGAAACTCTCCATTTGTACAAATTTGAAGTGCAAAATGCAGTCTTGTACAATCTCAATAAACCGTTAGACCTTCAGGGAAACAATATAGGAATAAGATAACAGTTGAAGTAGTCAAATGTCTGAGGCCCTGAACTGCCAGTATTGAAGAGTTGCAGTGAACAAAGCAATCAAGCATAAATTATTCTTTATTCAAAAAGCTGTAATTTAATTGGTTCCATATAAAAAAATTCTGTGTATTTTTCATATATTGTGTTACTAAATAAAGACTTAGGTATATGGAATTGTAAGCCACTTTTTATTGCTCTTTTAATGGTGGTTCCAGTTGTTTCTATATGACTAGAATGCTACAGAAAACAAATCTAAAAATAACATGTATTTTCCATTCTGTCCCTTACCTTCATATTTTGTAAGTTACGATCCCTTTGTCTCTCCATTTTCCAAGCTTCTGACATGCACTTATCAAGAGTGGCTGCTCTTTGGCGATACTCCATTTCATATCGATTTTGGCTGTCCTATTGAGAAACAGAAAATTCAAACAAAATAAATTGCAAAGGACATTAATTCCAATTAATGAAGTTTTACAAGTCATTTTGCTGATGGAATTTTAATTAAACATATACATAATTATTAAATGTTTTACATGGAATTCTTGTGTCACTCTCCTGCCAAATGGTCATACATTGTTCGTATCCATTGTTCATCACATAATTTTGGTAGGTCGGTAACTTCTTATCTGTCCCAGACACAGTACTGGAGTACTAAATTCTGAACTGTTCGTTAGAACGATCAAGTGTTGGTTTTTTTCATTCTAAATACCTTCTGGCCACATAATACTGTTTATCAGATAATGACCTTCTTACCATTGGCAACTTTATCTTTGCTGGACACCAGAGAGGAAGTGCAAAAGAGGCCAGCCCAAAGTAACATTGCAGCATAAAGTGTAAGTCAGTGTTAATTTTGGCACCAAATTTACTTTTCATTTTAGTCTTAGTCTTTTGACAAAAACTAATTTTTATTTTTAGTCACATTTTAGTCATCAGATTGATTTTTTTTTTAGTCTAGTTTTAGTCGACGAAATTCAAGTCGATCTTAGTCGATGAAAATTAAAGTAAATTTGGCTAAATCTAATAGGTTTATTTTTAGTGTAATGTATTATTTAAGCAATTCTCTAGCATTTCCATTCCATGGAGTAATTTTTAATTTTATTTAACTTTTATTTTATTTATTTTTATTTTTTTTAACTTCATTGCTATCACATGGGGGGGCTCCCAAGCCCCCTATGTGATGGCACATTGGAGGTGACAGATTATCTTTAATGTGACATTAGGGGTCTTCCAGACTCCTAGTGTCACCTTTCCACTTTACTGGTTTCTGCTGCTGAGGCAGCTGAATGTCAAAACAGTGGCTTGAAGCAATAGCCAGTCTGTTATTGGTTATTTTAGATTGCAATAGCCAATAGCAGGCTGGCTATTGCACGCGCCCACTGCCTGCTGTCAATCAGCAGAGGACGGAACTAAAGGATAAAGTTCTCCATCAGGTCCTCCTCTGCTGATTGACATCAGGCAGTGGGTGGGTGAAATAGCCAGCCTGCTATTGGCTATTGCATTTTAAAATATCTAATAGCAGGCTGGCTATTGGTCCCAGCCTCTAGATACAGAAAAAGCATGGGGGCGAGGCAGAGGAGAAACGGGGAGAGGCAGAGGAGGAACAGGGCGGGGCAGAGGAGGAAGGAGGCGGTCAGAGGAGGAAAGGGTCGGCGAACAGGAGGAACGGGCCAGCAAAGGACCGGGACAGTGACAGCAGTGGAGGTACGAGGGAAACAGCAGGGAATGCAGTGACAGTTTCTTCTCCCCGCTGATGCTGGCTGCAGTGTTCTGTGTCCCCGCTTCCTCTGCCGATACAGGCAGGGATTGAAAGGGACACAGACCGCTGCAGCCAGCATCAGCTGGGAGAAGAACGGACGAGCAGAGCGGCGGCAGCCGCGCTGCAAATAATCGATAATGAAAATAATTGACAACGATTCTTATTATTGATTTAGTTTTCGTTTGATTTCGTTGACGAAAATTGAGTACCGGACAAAAATTGTTTTCGTCCCATTAACTATTCTTTAATTTCGTTTTTGTCACTGAAAAATGGCCAAAAAATGAAGAAAAAAAAAGACACATTTTCGTTGACGAAATTAACACTGGTACAGGTAGTACTTAAGATTGAAAAATAGACATGCGGTGTGGTTTCAAACCTATCCAAAAACAACCAGCAGTGGAAGACCTTTTTTGCTGCCTTACAGACCACGAGGCGAAAAAGAGATGATGACAGACCTAGGAGTCTATGCACAAAGCTGCCGAAGGATCTAGCCGTAGCTTCGTCTGATCCTTCATCTAGATTCAGCCCCAGGACCCCTACGGTTCAGTAGAAATGAAGGGCTGCTATACGGGCTATTCACTATAGCCCGTACAGCTCCCAAGTTGGCCGAGCGGCTCAGTCGAGCTGAAGGCATATGCTTCGGCTCGACTGAGCCGAGGTGAAAGCCGAAGCTGGCCGAACGGCCTGCTACTGACAGCAGTGTGGAGCCAGCCGTCATCTCATGGCTGGTTTCGGCCACTTGCAGAGACAGATCAGTGTCCCCTGGTTACCAGGTAACCAGGCAGGCTGATCTGTCATTTCACTGAGAACCTGGCGGAGCTGCCGTGATATCACGACGGCTCCGTTGAGTTCTCAGTGTGTAATGACAATTCACTGTCTCCTGGTTACCTAGTGACTAGGGGACGCTGAACTGTCATGAGAGCTTGTGGGAGCTTGCGGTGATATCAAAGCCGGCTCCGCTAAGCTCTCATCGTAATGACAGCACAGCGTCCCTGGTTACTAGGTAAGATCTTTTTTGCTGCCTTACAGACCACGAGGCGAAAAAGAGATGATGACAGACCTAGGAGTCTATGCACAAAGCTGCCGAAGGATCTAGCCGTAGCTTCGTCTGATCCTTCATCTAGCTTCAGCCCCAGGACCCCTACGGTTCAGTAGAACCGAAGGGCTGCTATACGGGCTAGGTAACCAGGGACGCTGTGTAACCAGGGACGCTGTGTTACTAGGTAACCAGGGACGCTGTGCTGTCATTACGATAAGAGCTTAGCGGAGCCGGCTTTGATATCACCGCCAGCTCCCACAAGCTCTTATTGTAATGACAGCTGGTCCCGGCCAATAGAAACAGTTGGGCGGAGCTAGCTGTCACTGCTAGCTCCGCCCAATCGTTTTCGATTTTTTTTTTTTTTTACAGTTTTTCTATTCTGCTCCGTACCATTAGGGTACCGAGCAGAATACCCGAGCCGAATGCCACTCGGCGGCATTCGGCTATTCACTCACTGCTGTTCGGCCCCTATGAGAATAGGCCGAACAGCAGCGAGTAGCCTGCCAGAGGTTCGGCTCAGCCGATCAAGATGTTGGATCAGCTGAGTCGAACTCCTTCTGCAATTCCGGTCGGCCGAACATGCTGAGCATGTTCGGCCGACCCAAACCCAGCCGCAGCAAGCCGATGTGTGGCTGATTTCAGTTGATATACGGCTGAAATCAGCCGTACAAGTCTGAAATGAATAGCCGAACAGCGACTTCGGGTCAGTTATTCACTCGGCTGCCTACGGCAGCTTTGTGAATAGACCCTCTAGTTTTAGAAAGGTACTGCCCCATGTGGCTCTCCATGGCACATATATTGTGATATAACATGTACTGTATACTTATTACATAAACCTTTTGTAATTTAGTGTTAATAAAACATTTCTTGTTCATTTTGCAACCACCTATACTTTTTTCAAACTGGAAACACAGTTCAAAATGGCTTTCTTGTAGGGGGCATGCATGTGTATGGCTCACTGCTTATCCCAACAGTTTTCCTCTTATTACAACACTGGCGTGGCTGATTTCATTCAATGTAATTAACTGTTTAGGAGAGGACTGTGAATGTTGAACAGTCCATTATTATTCAAATGTTGATGACTTATTTGATAATGATCCTTTATAGTGTTTGTTTATGAATTTCTATTACCATATCTCTTTTGTATTTTTCCTATCGCAAATGACATATATTCCTACATTCTACACACATGTCCTACCTAACACAGACTGTAAATACAGCACTCAGGGGTGTATATATATGACTACAGCAGGCCATTTTCATAATTTCTGAAAATTTTATGTTCAACCAGTATTGAACGTTTCTTTTTTAAGACATAAGGTTGATATTTGCAAGATAAGATAGAACCGAAAGATGGAAAAACAGAAACAAAAAAGGTACAGAAGGTATATGTACAGGATGTTAGTACAAGAAACTTACGTGAATAAATTGCATGTCCAACTTTGTGTTCTTATCCATTTGTTGCATTATGTCACCATGTAATGTTTGGAACTACAAAAAAAATATATATATGTTATCTTTGATAAGAAAAGCGGGCCTTAAAAGTTTTACTTTTCATATACCTATAAACTGTGTACTTTATATGTGGTAGTGTATGCACTATATGCAAGCCATTACTGATATATCACTAGTGCTTCCCTTCAGAGCTGCAGGGACACACTAGTGACAAAGCTGCCAAGAGGGGAAGCAGGCAGATGCAGACATTTCACACAGCTGAAAATATTGCATGCCAAATTGCCGACTTGCTGACATACTTCTGGAAGTGCTAGTTACCCTGCTGTCTTACTTCTACACGTACCAGGTTACTGACCTGGAGCAGACATGCATTTTAAGTAACAGTGAAATAAGAACTCTGTCTGTATACCTGTTCTTGGACAGAAAGTAGTGAAGCCATTACATCAGCATATAAATAAGCCAGGGATCTAGCATTTACAGAAAGAAAGGTCAGCAATGGCAGTCTACATATGTCTTATACTATGGTATTTTGGGGGGTAATATTACCTAAGAATAAATTCAGACAAAATTAAAATACAAAACTGACTTACTACCTTCCACAGAGAACCCCATTAAACTAAAGCTCGCCATAGACTCGTAGATTTTCCTACAAACGTTCATTTGGCAAATCTTGCCAGAACATTCAACATCAGAGACTTGAAAAATGTTGTTTGAAATCTGACTTTGACATTCAATTTTGGAATGGAGTTTCCCAAATAAAAACTAAATTCATCGTTATAATTTTGTTTGTTTGTTCCAGAAACATTTTCCATTCTGCTGCTTTCGATTTTTTTTATTGTTAATTTGACCCCATTAACTATTGGAAGATTAAACAAACTTTCAGAAGACAATTTTTTTAAAACAAAATTCTACTGGTGTAAAGCAAATATGTTGCGCTCGGTCTATGTGAACCAACTGCACACTAAAGTGTAGTACTTTATATGCAAGTCGGCTGCCATTGCCGAGGAAAACCTTTAAAAGGAAAGCCATTGCCTTTAAAAGGAAAACCTGCCTTCATCTCTCTTAGCTGAGTGCTGCTAACGCTCAAAAGCTCGATTTTTTTCGTTGTTTCCGTAAGTGCATTTGAGTTCTTTTATGAAATAAATATTTGTGTTACTGCACTTAGATAGCCTCCTCTTTGTCTCCTTCAAATTTTTCCCTGGGGGACACCATTAGGTGAACGCCGCCATTCCGGGCGGCGAGGGATCAGGTGACCGAAGGAGAAGGAGAGACCCACGCCGGTACTTGACAAGGAGACATTAGAAGGGGTTGGAAAACCAGAACTTTAAAAGACCTCTTTAACAAGGAGCCCCTCTTGGGGAATTGTCATTGAATGTTTGGAGGACTGCCGGACAGATTGATCAAGTGTCACTGAGAGAAGGAAGTTGCCCTTTCTTAAAGTGCTGTTCGTTGGTTATGCATGTAATGATACATGCCCCTTGAAATGTCAGTTTCTTTGCTGTTATTATTTTAGAGTTTTGATTTATTTGCACTGTTTTTTTTTGTTTTTTTTTGAGTATTGGAGGGCCACCACAGAGCCCCTCCTTCCTTTTCAAAGTTTGTTCACAGCTTGAATTAATATCACGATTTAAATTTTAGTTTTCTGTGTTGTTTTACTACACCGCTGGCCAGAGGTTCACGTGTTTAAAATATACATGCCGAACCAATGAGGTTGATCACTGGCACTAATTCTGAAGGTTCCAGTGTTGATTTTTATTATTCTTATTATGTTTGTGTGTTGAACCTTCTAGTCATATGTAAATAATCCACTTGAATCAATTTTTTCACACGGATTGTTGTAATTTTTACACAGATTTGTTTATTAACACTTTAGTGTGCAGTTGGTTCACATAGACCGACCTCAACATATTTGCTTTACATTTGTTCACCTATACACATTGTTGCGGCTGGTCCAATCAGGTAGTTAGGCACGCATTCCCAGCGCAGTGATTTCTGTGATATAAAATTCTACTGGTGTATGGCCAGTTTAAGAGCATGTGATGTTCACACATGTTTGCAGCATTAGTGTGAACATCGGTTCGCTGATCTTCCCTGTGAAGTATGAACCCAAAAGTGCTCAGCTCTGAGCCCTTCTGTGTTTAGAGCTGTCAAACCTCAGCTGCCCTGGCCAAGCAAAAAGCTGATCGAGCATAGTCTGTGCAAAGGTGACATTAGGGATCTAATAGGCCAGTGATATCTATTAAAAAGAACCTGTCACCTTCACCTTGTCAGCCCCCTTGTAATCGCAACAAATTTAAGAAAAAATTAGGAAACAATTTTTAAAACAATTAAGATTAAAAAAATAAATAAAAAACAAAATAATTTTTAAAAGCCCCCTGCACCCAAGTACATGCACATATAAACGCAAACATACGCAACTGTTGTACACACGTATGAAAATGACTGTTGCGCCACACATATTGGGTATTACCACGCACATCGGAGAGAGAGCTATAATTCCAGGGCTATTATTCATCGGTAACTCTGATGAGCTGTAAAGGTTTTTAAAGCGTCATATGTGGACAAATTCGGGCATTGTAGTTGTTACCTTTTTACCATTTTATTTTTATTTACATATCTCTTTATTTTACCAAACAATTGGGGATTATATTGTGTTTATATGCACTAAAATAGTGTATTTTTGACTAATGTATAGATTTGATAAATAGTTGCACAAATATCGTGTAAAACAAAAAAAAAGTGTGTGGGTTTCCCCCCAAAATCCCTACCAGGCCCTCTAGGTCTGGTAGGAATTTTAAGGGGGAACCCCAGCCCCCAAAAATGGGGGGGGGGGGAATTGACGTCAGGATTGGCGCTGGATTACATCGATGGATCCATTTATTTATTTTTTTAATTAAAGGAATAGTCAAAAAATGACTACTTTTTTTTTTCAATTAAAGGATTTTATCAAAAGTCTGGACTTTTTAATAACTATTTTATTTAACCCTTTAGTGAATGGGTAGGGGTACACAAGGGGGGGCGGCATTTGGGTGCCCCCTTAAAGGGGTACCCCAATGCAAATAAGCCCCCTTGTCCGCAGACCACCACAACCACCGGGTCAGGGTTGTGGGGAAGAGGCCCTTGTCCCCATCGGCATGGGGACACCCTCCCAATGCCGAGGGCACGTGGCCTGATAAGGCACAGGGAGGGGGGGCACTCAATCGCCCCCCCCTTTCCTGCCCTGCCTGTGCTCGGATCAAGGGTCTGGTAGGAATGTTAGGGGGGACCCCACGTTTTTCCCCCCAATTTTTGGGGGCTTAAACTTCCTACTAGACCTAAAGGGCCTGGTATGGATTTTGGGGGGAACCCCACACACTTTTTTTTGTTTTAACTTGGGGGGGTCCCTCCTTACATTCCTACCAGACCTAAAGGGTCTGGTATGAATTAGGGGGGGACCTCACACTTTTTTTTTCTTTCCTCTTCTGCAGACTTACTGCAACAGACGAAACAAAAAAACGAAACAAAAGTTCGACCGGACTAACGGTAACAAATTTTTCCGAATCTGAATCCCGAAACAAATTAAATCCCAAAAAAGAAATAATGCAAAATCGGAATCGAAACAAAACTAATTTTTTGCAGTTGCACATGTCTATTCACCCAGTCACTGGTCAGGATACATTGTAGGGGAACAAAGGATTATCACAAAGGATAATGATAAAGGAATGCAAGGTGATCATGTCAGCAGGCTCATCAGGGTGCAAGATGTAGTTATCTTTGCAGGGGGCCTATTGTGTTGGGGAAGCATTAAAGCCTAAGTGGTGCCAGCAGAACATGGCACACAAAATGTCCAACCGAGAGATCCATAAGTTTGGTAATAAGTCCCGCTGGATTGTGTTCCAGCCGGTGGGCATAGCGCTAAATAATGACTTTCAAGGGTGAAAGTCATGATTATATTGACAAACGCAGTGTTGCAAGATAGGAGATTACAAAGATCAGACTTCAGCATCACAATCGTTATCTGACCTGTGGGCAAAGGGAGCAAGCTATTATGTTCTCTTCCTGCCTCTACTGAGTGTTTGGATAGATCTGCAAATACTACTGAATACACAAACTGTATTGCCTGTTGCATATCTAAACATATTTGAAGAGACTAAAACTGATACAAACATGAAGTTCAGTTCACTGATAACTTCTTTTGACTCTGCAAGAATATGGTGTTGCTAGACTATTTTAGAGACATCTTATAGCCTGTCACTAAATGGTGGAAGTGTCTGGTTCGATACTGCTGCATGCAGAAGATCATGGGTAGTAGATGATGATAAATAAACTGCTCACAGGGACAAGTTGTTTAGTGTGGAGAAGAATGTTGTATAGTCCTCAGTGAGCAGTTACCTTTCCTTCTATGAAGGGCTATCACCAACAGGTCTGTTGGCCTCATCTCCTAGGAAGAAGCCCACACAGCATGGGTGGTGCCTGTGTAGCAGCAACACAGTGAGTTTTTGGTGCTCCCCTGGGTGTTTTGAAAGATTGGACACTGCCTGCAAAGTGAGGAATAAACACTCCTAAGATGACAAGAAGTAAACACTTCAGCCTGCTTTCCTACACTGACAGTGATAAAGCTAAGAGATGTTCAAGTTCCTCAACAGCTGAAAGCATAAAATCCAACCTACAGTTGGAATGGTGTTAAAAAACATGGAAAAAAGTAAAACTAGTTAGAAACAATGTTCTACAATTAGTTTCTTATTAAATAAATCTTACCACTACATTAAGCCCAGCACTTGCACTTTTGCAGCTTTCAGCCATCTGAATGAGCACCTGTCCTGAAGGGTTAATAAATAATAAATAAATAAATAATTAACATAAAATATACGCCAACAATATAAATACATATACCATGAACATGAGGAAGGGCAGGGAGCCCCGAAACTGTCTCCAGTTGTATTGCTCTATGGACCAATTTCAATAGAATAAAAGAGATCAAATAAGGATGCCTCATATATTGGAAATGCATATATACAATTTGAGGACATTTGCAACGAACCTATCTGGTTGCATATATACAGTATATAATTACAGCATATTTACTAAAAATGCCTATTTAACCAATATACATTTAATGAATGCTACATCTAGTATGAACTCAAGTGAAATATCACCCAAGTAACTGTAAAGTGTTCTTAGGAATGGTGAGCAGATCCCACAAAACCCACCACTGTAATTCAGATACTACACTCCTCATCCACTGACCAATACCCTGTTAGCAATGTAAAACATGCTAAGATCAAACGTACTCAACTGTTTCAGGCTGACCAATGTTTGCCAAATCTGTAACATGTGAACAATTGATACTTAAGCCAAATTCCGGCCATAATGAGCAATGGGTACCTGTGGCAGTAGTTTGCCACCACAGGTACTTGCTAGAGATGCACCGATATCGATACTGATACTGGTTTTGGTTTTCGGTGCCAATGCCGAGTATTTGGGCGAGTACGAGTACTCGCACAAATGCTACGATACTTATACTGATACCGGAGCTTCCGGTCAGAGGGAAATTTCCTTTGACTGGAAGGGCCGCGATGGAACATGGAGTCGTCTTCCCGTCCAAATCAGGAAGCCAGGCGGTGGGTAATGATCCACCTCTTGGCTTCCCTATTAGCCGGGAAGCCGGTGCCATGCTGTTTGGCCGGCTTGATGGTGATTGGCTGGGAAGCCGGTATCCTGGCCAATCAGCATCAAGCCAGCCAAACAGCATGGAGCCGGCTTCTCAGGCAATCAGGCTTCCTGATTGCCCGGGAAGCTGGCTCCATGCTACCAGGAGTATCAGTATCGGTACTCTGTATCAGCGAATACCGAGACATATCGTACTCGATACTCGTACTCGATACCGAAAAACCGCTATCGGTGCATCCCTAGTACTTGCATACCCTGCATTTAGCTTGTATTCACACCCAGGCAGCATGGGTTTTGCACACGATTTCAGCCAGCGTCTTTTGCACGGTTTTGTACATTTTTACGCTCATAAGATGCGCCCACATGAAGACGTGCGTCTTGGCTGGCAGATTGGGACATTGCAGTCAATAGACAAATATGAGCAAAACACTTGTGTCACACATTTCCAGACATTTCCACTGAAGTCTATGGGGCCAAACGCACTGTAAACTGCCTGAAAGAAGCTCATGTACTTTTTCCAGCGACAGGTGTTTTACAGCTTGCATCAAAATACTCAAGTGTGAACAGGAGCCATTGAAATGAATGGGATTTCTTGTGTTGAGAGTTTTCTCGAGCGACAAAACTCCTAGGTGAGAATGGAGACTTAAGCTTCATTAATATAAGTTGTTTTTTCTGTAAAACAAGTTTGAATAAAAAGCACACTTGTCCAATAAGCGAAACAAAAGAAAAAAGTATGTATTATTGCTAGTGATGTCACCAGTCACTTTTTCCTTTTCATTCTCAAATGCTTTTTTAGTGCTCTATTTATAAGCTGCCAATCGCTAAGAAATCGATCATCAATTTAAACTCAATGGCAAGAATTCTCTTTCACCATTTACAGTTTCTTAGGTGACTACTTATTGCAGTGAGTTACTGCACTCCATACACTCTTCCTTTGGCTCGTTTTATAAATCTTCATATATACTAGGGATGCACCGATATTGATACCAGTATCGGTGTCGAAACTGGGCATTTTCATGAGTAGTTGTACTCAGACCTCGGCAGCCTTCCTGTAAACCGTGGCGCCTGTTTACAGCACTGTTCGGACATCTCCTCCTTCCTGGGGAACCCCGCCGCCCTCAACCACCTGCAAGACCTTCAGGACCATTGGTGAAAACCCTGCACAGACTCCTGATACCCCTCAGAGCACTGGTGAGACCCCACAGAGCCCTGCTCAGACCTCGCACAGCCCTAATGAGACCCCGCACAGCCTCCTGAGACACCACACAGCCCAAATGAGACCCTGTACAGCCTCTTGAGATCCCGCACCGACCTGGTGAGACCCCGCACAGCCCTGGTGAGACCCCTGCACAGCCCTGATGAGAACCGACACTGCCCTGGGAGATCCCACACAGCCCTAGTGAGACTCTGCACAGACCTGGTGAGACCCTGCACAGCCCTAGTGAGACCCCACACAGCCTCCTGAGACCCTGCATAGCCCTCCTAAGAGCGCGCACAGTCTCCTGAGAGCCTGCACAGCCACCTAAGACCCTGCAAAGCCTCCTGAGACCCCATACAACCCTCCTGGTACCCCCCACAACCCTGGTGAGATCCAGCACAGCCCAACTGAGACCCCGTGCAGCCCACCTGGGACCCCGTACAGCCCAACTGGGACCCTGCACAGCTCTCCTGAGACCCTGCATAGCCCACCTGAGACCCCACACAGCCTCCTGAGATTCCACATAGCCCTCCTAAGACCTGGAACAGTTTCCTAAGACCCAACACAGCCACCTGAGATCCTGCACAGCCTCCTGGGATCCCTCACAGTCCTCCTGAGACCCAGACAGCCCCCTGAGAACCCACACAGCCCTGATGAGATCCCGCACAGCACACCTGAGACCCCACACAGCCCACCTGAGACCTCACACAGCCACCAGAGGCCCTGCACAGCCTTCTGAGACCCTGCACAGCCCTCCTGAGACCCTGCACAGCCTCCTTAGACCCAGCACAGCCCTCCTGAGACCCGAGCACAGCCCTCCTGAGACCCCAGACAGCCCCCTGAGACCCAGCACAGCCCTGATGAGATCCTGCACAGCCCCGGTGAGACTCCGTACAGCCCACCTGAGACCCCGCACAGAATCCTGAAACCCCACACAGCCCTTCTGAGACTCCACACAGCCCACTTGAGATCCCACACAACCTCCTGAGACCCCGCACAGCCCTTCCGAGATCCTCTGCAGCCCTTCTGAGATCCTCCACTGGAGACATCAGGCCATCACCCGAGAGCAGCAGAGTATGTAGCTATATATTGTTCTGCATTGCTGTATAGTATATTACTGGGATTTGCTTTCCTATATAGCCAGTTGCCATTCGGCATTGCTGTATAATGTATTGCTGATATTTGTAGTCCTTTATAGCTGATTGTATTATTCTGCATTGCTGTATAATGTATTGCTGGGATTTGTAGTCCTCCATAGCCGGTGCCATTCTGCACTGCTGTATAATGTATTGCTGGGATTTGTAGTCCTTTCACAGCTTAGAGGGCAGAACTACCAGAATCGCAGCATTTGCAACTGAGGCTGGGCCCTGGTGCTCCACCACTGTTATTAGACTGTATTGTTTTAGAAAACATGACACACAAAAAAGTATCGGTAAATGGTATCGATATTCATATTAGCTCTGGAAAAATGGTATCGGTGCATCCCTATATAAAACCCTTTCATTCCCCATGCATTTATTTATGAGAGGTCTTCATATAGCGATGTCAGTTTACGCAGCTCTTTACACACATCAATACCTATCCTCAAGGAGCTTACATTCTAAGATCTCATTTGTCTACACACATGCACATATTAGGGCCAATTTCTATAGGAGGTAATTAACCTACCAGCATTTCTTTGGTGTGTGTGAGGAAATCAACACAAGCACAGGGAGAAAATGCAAATTCCATGAAGATAGTGTCCGGCCTAGGACAAACTAAAGCTGGCTTTACACTATACGAATTTTGGCCAGTTCTTCAGTAACTGATCGAAAGAGCCGGTCAGATCATTCTCAAAATCAAAAAAATCAAAAGCCAAAAAAATCAGGCAGGGAAATATAATTTACCAGCAAATGTTTTGTGCATATAGGTGTCAGATGTTGGGCAGGGGGTGCATTTTCAGCACTTTCCATAGGCGCTATTTTCCATAGATACACCAATGCCTGCCTCCGAGTTGACAGGGAACCGTAACACTGCATGCACTTTATGCAAGAAGTGTTATGATTCCCTGTCAAACTCACCTCACCCTGTGTGGGGGTCCTGGTAACCGCTGACGTAGTGGGGACAGCTTCCACCAGCTCACAGTGCAGCGTGATGGAGGAACAGTCGGCGGCTCAACAGCAAGTGAGGGAAGCGGGGATATAGGATATCCCTGCCCCCTCACCATTCGCCAGTTCCGCCACACCAGAATTAGTGGTAAGGAAGGTGATGCGATGTAGAGGAGGGCCTGCGCAGATGTGATTGGGGGGGGGGGGGGGGGAAACGGGGGAATTTAAATGGGAGGGGG